TTTTACTATAACAGCTGATATAAAAAGCTTTTGCTAGATTTTATATGAAGAGGAGTCAGACCCCACTTTGTTCAGTGTAAATGAAGCGCGCCAACCTTTCATTAGAGTTGCGAAGGAACTTATGCTACGAAGTCCGTCACTACTACATTCAGGGCACGCCATCTTTGTGATCATCACAACGGGGGGGTCGTATTTGCCCTCGATGGAGGGGGGGGGGTCGTAAGCGCATCGCCCACTCCAAAGTGGAGAGAGCACTCGGTACAGGTGAAAAGAAGCTCGAAAGGGACGATGAAATGAAATGAGAGAAAGAACTAATCACTATTGAACTATTCCTATGCCAGAGAGAAAAATTTTCGCTGAAACTTGTAGTAGATGTTATCAGATGTCCTGATCACGAATATGACATCATTTCTTCGTACCTCCATATTAAGCGCTCTGCTGAGGCTGAAACTGGGAAAACGAATGATTTCTCTCAGGCCAGGCTCAGTCTCGGCAAAGCGCAGATGACGTACGCTGACACTTGCGCCAGGAATAAATGTCATATTTGTGACAAATCAGGCATAGTCGATAAGCTGAACACACCAGTTTTCATCGGATTTGGTGGTTTAGGGTATAGTTAGGCGGCGCCTGTGGCGGCTTCTATGCTATTCTGGTCGCTGACGCTGCCTAACGCTCGGAACGCTGGTGGTCGCCGAAGGACGCTGCCGCAAAGTATGAAGGCATCCTTACAAAAATCGAAGAAAACTTGCATATGACGGTTATTTGACATTTCAATTATAAATATGACATTCATCCTTGGTGCCAACCCTAGCGCACAGCGGCACTATGACTGTTTGCGCTCTGCTAAGGCTGAGTCTGGCGAGAAAAGCACTCTTTCAGGCTCATAGCAAAGGACTCGTGACGCTTGTGTCAAAAAAGAATTTGATATTTGTGATCTGGATACAAAATAACCAATGTATGCTAGTTAACACCGTGTATGGCGGAAAAGATGGCGCCAGATTTCCGCCAATTCTAAGCAGTTGCGAAAGCGCCGCATTGCACCACTCGAGTTCTATGGAGTGAGATTAGTTACTTGCGCAAACGCCATTTTGTGTCTCCTGTCATGTAGACATGATATGGTACAAGAAGTTCTATCAGGGATCACTGCGGAGGCAACAGATTGTTTATAAATTCTGAAAACGTCAAACCAACTAGCTACCACTATATAAAAGCAAATTTATTAAAGAAAATATTGGTATAATTCTCGGTAGTCGTCAAAATGAACGGTGATTAAAATTATTTCGGAACATATGGTCGGCCAGTTTGTATGGAGATATCGCATTTGCTTCCGTTTTCTTCATAGTGAATGCTGGATGTCGTCAAAGTGTCATCGGAATTTCGAAAGTCACCGCAGCACTGAAAAGGTCCCTGCTAGACATTCTGCTACATATCACGGGTAAGTATAATCATAACCAGTCAGAAGCTTCATATATTTAACTGCTTGTCAGAAAATCTAACGCATATATCAGACTCCTCCATTCCTTCGGGACTGTATGGAGACGGTTTTTATCATTTCTGAAATGTCTCTGTTCCTAGCTTTGCACCTATTTCCAAGCTTTATTGTAGGGCTACTTCTATGAAGAAGGTGAATCCCACGATTGCTATGGGTAGTGCACGGAGCTGCGGACATGTAGGCGGT